AGTTACTTTACTGTAATGATTTTCCTGGTCAGCAAGGGGGAGAACGGGTCATGTTCCAGCCAGTGCTAACACCTGGGCTGGCAGCTGCAGTGAGGAATTCCTGTCCTGCTCTCCATGCTTTCTGCTGGGGGTGTCTGGCCAGGCACATCCCTCAGGCAGCTCTTGCACTGCTTCTTGCACCCGTGGCAGTTTCCTAGGAGGAGGCAGGGAATCGCAACAGCTCCTCCAGCCCGGTCACCTGGAGTGGGTTCCCCCAGGCTCAGAAGGGCTCCCCTGGTCATCGTGTGTCCACGGGTCACAAGGGACTGAAGTGGAGCATGGTCTGCAGAGCCCGTGGTTTGTGTAACCTGTATCTTCTGTGACTGATCTCCCAGTCAGGGGTGGCCTCAGGCCTCTCCAAGCTGGTGAAGCAGCCGTGATCAGGCAAGCCTGGCATCACGCCAGGTCCAAAGCCAGAGTAAGCCTTGGAAATACCGCTCCCAAACCACCTTCCTTCCCAAGACCCAGGTTAGTCTCAGAGCTCTTCTCCCTCTGGGCTCAAACTGGGAGCGCTCTTGACCCCAGCAGCCTCTTCTCTCTTGCACAGGACGTGACTGCAGACTTGTTTGTGCCGAGCTCTCCTGCTCGCTCCGCACCTCGCGAAGCTGACAGTATATTGCCATGTTTATTGGCCTGGCTGGCAATTTTTCAGGTGCTAGGTGTGTTTGTGATTATCAGGGTCACACCTCCATTAGGAATGGGGAGAGGGATTTTAAACATACCCACACCTTACTCTTCTTCCTCCAGCCTCTCTGCGTGGAAAGGGATTGTGCAGTGCGTGGCCTGAATTCCCAGACTGGTTGGTGATATTTGCACTCAGCCTTGAGGGAGCTGGCCAGCCTGGCATGCAGAATTGCCTGGCTCAGCAGTGCCACGTTGCTTGGCCGGCCCTGCTCCCTCTTGTTCATGACTATCTGTGCCTGTGTGTGCACTTGCAAGTTTAATAGCAGCAATAGTTGCTTTTGTCAGAGATGATACGCAGCCCATAAAATTCCTTTGCCATTCTTTTTTTTTTTTCTTTTTTTTCCCCTGCTGAGATATGAAAGCTGTGGAGAAGGCTCCAACGCCTGTTGGCTATTTCAGAGGAGGGTTATATAAGGAATGTGAAAAGAATGCATTTCATAGTGGCCAGAGGACCTAAAAATACCCCTTTCAGAGATCTTTGCTTGGACATTGTGAAAAGATCTTGCAGCTGTAGATACTACTCCAGGAAATCATCCTTAGTCTAGGTTGCAGACACAGAAGAGGACAGTAGAAAGCTCTTGCATCCAAAAACAAAGTAAGGAAGCTGTGTCTTAAAGGCCAGAACTAGCTGTCCTTATGGCAGCCATCTCCTGTGACATGGGACATCGCCTGTGGGCTCCAGGGAGCCTGGCAGGATAAAAGACAGCCCGCAAGTGGCCAGCGCGGTGTCTCAGGGTGATTCCAGGCTGGAGTGACAGAAGGGGTGAGGGTTGGGATCAAGGATACCACCTAAGGACAAGGTTGTCTCTGGGGCAGTTTGTGGGTTTTTTCCCAAGTGAGCTGAATCCAGCACTTAGAAACCTCCTGTAGGGACTGCGCTGATTTAAGATTAACCAGGTAAAGGGCAACTTGATAGAGTAGTTCATGGGAGGGAATCCAGGAGAATTTATTGCTTCAAAGATTTGATATTACATATATGGAGTTCTTAGGGCATATACCCAGGTAAAACCAACCGTGGGTCACAGGGTTTGTGTGGCAGGCAGAGGAGTCCTGCTTTTTACTCTGCATTAAAGAGAAGGAACTAACTCCTTTTCCTTCTCTTGACTGGACCAACCACTCAGTCGCTGTGTGTGCTGAGATAACGCATGTCCTGCAACTGCCTTTGCTGACCTCGTTCAGGCATTTGGCAATGGCATTGGGACTCTGGATCATCACAGGGGTGCACAAGAATATAGTTTGAGGTCTGTCCTGTTCTCCCAGGTCCTTGGCCCCCGAGTGGAGGCAGGCACTGAGTGCTGTCTCCACACCACCCTCAAATGCAGTCTGACTCTCATCCCTGCATCTCATACCTGCTGACAGTTTTCACCAGCATGACTGGCACTGGGAGGCCACTGGGTGTGCAAGTGGGATGGAGAATCAGCCTGCTTCTCATCCCTTGTACCTGGGATGAGACTGCCCGCCTCATTTCACACCAGGGACGGGAGATGGGGGAACACGAGGAGCACCTCCTGCAGATCAGAGCTGAAAATGCTGGATGTTGTTCCTCCCCAGATACCTAATCTTTACAGCCATCTAGACCTCTCTCCCCACTTCCCGTTATCTTCCTGGGCATGCTACAGCTGAGAGCAGGCTCCTGTGGTCAGAAGAGCAGGTCATTAAGAGCCTTCTCTAATTGTCAGTATATTTCTTCACCTTTACAACCAGTGACAAATTGACTTTCACTTTATCGTCTTATTGTGCCCCGTAGGCTTGGCCTGCCTTTGGCTGCACCTGCTGCCAGCAGTAGGTTGGCTGTGTGTGAACCAAAGCAGAATCATCACCCCAAAGTGCTCAGAAATTACCTTTGAAATACAAGAACTTAAAAATTAACATGTTTGAAATGCTAATAACATATTTTGGCTTCCTTTGCTTGGCTTTTGGAGTGTGGTTACCTCAAGTCCTTAAGGTCCCTGGAATTATGGAAGCAAATATTTAGTCTTCATGCTTGTTTTTCTTTTAATGAAAATTGGGATTGTCATTCAGTCTTACGATTCCAGCATGCATGGCTTCAGGACAGACACCAGCTAACATTAGGTGTGCCAGGAAATAGTGTCAGCTGGCAACAGCATCAAACACTTGTTTGGGCTTTTTCCTCAATACACATATGCTTTGTGCTCAGACCAACAGGGAGGTGAGCCCCTTGTTTTAAAATAAATCCTCCCAGAAGAAAGAAATCCATCTGTCTGGGAAAAGTTAGAAAATATTTTTGCATTTATTTCTTTTCTTTTATGAATACAAACTCTAGTGAAGAAATATTCCTCTGTTTCCATTGGAAGGCAGTAACCAGCAAAAATTAATGTACAATGTTGAGGAATGCTTGGTGCAAATGGACCAAAAAGGATTCCCCACAGAGTATGCCTACCTACAGGAAAAAAGGTTGCTGCAGTTGGAAAAGACAGCCTGGTTATTATGGTTTTTTTGCATTTAATCTCACAATTATAAATAATCAATGTGATTTACAAAATAATTTATGGAAAATGATTGGATTCATCATTGCAATAAATTACTTGGTATGATGCCACCAGTGTTGAGAGATGATAAAATACTTCTGACACCGTCAGCGCGAAGCGAGGTGTTTCCTTTTTGCATTGGAAATCATGGAACAGACCTGCCGCTCCTCTGGCTGGGCTGGCTCAGGTTTGTCCCCCCGGGGTCTCTTGGCAGCCGTGGTTCCACCAGCTCCATCCTCCCACAAGCCCGGCACCCCACACAGTCTATGGTTAGCTGGAGCTGCTATTGCCTTGCACTGCCAGAGATGACTCAGGTCTGAAGTCGTGCAGGGCTCTGCCAGCTCCAGCCCCGCTGGCACCTGGGGAGGCTGGTGCTGGCGCGGGAGGGCTCCTTTCCTGGTTCCAGCTGTAAACCAAAGGTCAGACCTGCGGGGTTTCGGCACAGAGACATAGAGAGGGAGCAGGGCAGGCGGGGGCAGACCCAAGGGGTTTGGGTGAGACAGGGTCTGTCCTTGACCTCTGTCATTCTCTACAGGACTCGAAGCACTGTGGTTTTGAGGTTGCTGCCCTCAAGCCCTCTGAGGTCTGAAGGAGCCTTAAGAAATTCTTATTGTGTTATAAAGACCTATAAATCTGTTATCAGCCACTCACTGTAAGCTGAGGGAGTGGCACTGGACTGGACAAGTGGATTAGATGGCATATCTTAGCATTAAAGCTGGGTCAGAGCTGAGATCCTGCGTCACGATGCTCCCAGCACTTGGACAGTCCGATCTGTGAGACTCGGGCTCTTCTCACCCTCACAGGTCTCTCCCCTTTGGACATTTCCCCCCCAGCTTCTTTCCAAAGAGGCATCCAGTGGTCTTCTCCTGGCTGCTGAGAAGCAGTAGCAGGGCCAGTGATATTCTGGGCAGTGCTGCCCCCTGCCAGCCTGCATGGGGGTGACCCTGTCCCGTTAGCTGAAACCTCCTGAATCCCATGGTGTCCCAGCTTCCCAGTCCAGGTGGCGAGGAGGCAGCAAGTGGTGTAAGGGAAGGATTTGGCAGTGGTTGCTTCTCTGAGCCATGTGGTGGGAGGGCGGTCGTGGCACAGAAATAACAAAACCCCTCAAAATGCAGAAGGGTGCAAATAGTGGAGAATCCTGGTGGGGCAGGCCTGGCCCCAATATCAGCTGAAAAGATTTGTTAGACCTGGCTGGAGGGTTAGTTTGCTGGAGGGTGACACCGTTGCAAAGACGTAGGACTAGCCAAGGCTGAGGAGCGGTTCTGCCAGTGCTGCCTGGGCAAACCCTGTGTGCTTCACCTGCTGCGACGCTCCTGGGGGAGCTTCCATCTCCATCAGGTCTGGCTGGACTGGGGACTGTCTGGGGAGCTGGCGTGGCTGCAGGAGGGAAGCCCTCCCTTCATGCAGCACAGAGAATTGCTTGTTCGCAGGGTCTGGTGTGTGCTGAACCAGCGCTGAGAGGTGGCAATGGGGGAACAGCCAGCTGCGCTGTCCCCAGCTAGTCACTGCAACCTCCCCGCTGAGGGAGGGAGAAATCTGTCCCTTCTCACAAGGACTGAGAGTTTCAGTAAGGCTTCAACCTTAGTTCTGGGACTCGGGGCTGCCCGTGGCACGTGCTGTCTGTAGCTGCAGGAAGACAGCTTTTGGTGGTGGTGGACTAGTCCATACACAAGTCCGTGTGTTTGCACCCAAGGACCTCTGGATGGCTTCTCTTTTCACAGTGACAGAGTTCAGTTGGGCTTTTCTCCCACATGGTCTTCTAAACGAGGCCGGCTGGTCTGCAGATTGCTAGATGACCTCCTGTTTTGTGATGGCGGGCTGCGGGATGGAGGTGGGCTGTTTTGCCACAGTTGCAATAGCTCCGGGCAGCAGCTTATATTGCTCTGGTCCTGAGCCTGCTGGTGGGGATGGCTGTGGAGTTTCTGGAGTAGCTACAGAGAGAGAAATAAAATCAGAAGATGTGACAGCACTGGGGTCTGTCCTCAGTCGTGCCAGGTTTGGGTGTAAGCAAAGCAGAGGCTCTGTAGCAAACCCATAGCTTCTAATGGTGTGTGTGTGCTGTAAGGCAGCCTGGACACACAGGCATGGTTAGGTGTCCTGGAAGAGCCACAATAATGCCCACATTCCCAAGCACTGGCCCCATGTGTGACCCTGTGTGGTGGACCAGATTCTCCTGTGTTTCAGTGGAGGGCAAAGTGAGGTGTGTGTGAACTATTAAAGGGAAGGGGAGCCTTTCTGATGATTTCAGTAGGCTCTGGATGGGATCATTCATCCCTAAATCTAAGGGCTACGTAAAAGATACAGTCTGACAGGGAACATCTTGAATCAGTTAGTTTCGCCTAATCTAATCTAACCTAACCCACCTCTCTGTTTGTCTTTCCCTCCTTTCTGCATAGGAATTTCTCACACACTCATTATCAGAGACTCTGTCTTGCATGGAAATTTCCTCAAAAGGTAGAAACTACCTCCAGAGGCATGCTGGAGAGCTCTCGGTGTCTCCTGGGAGCTCTCCGTCTGTCTGGCAATACTCACACATCTGCCCATTGTGCATCTGAGGAGGCATTGTGTTGGCCACAATGACGTTTGTTCCCAGGTTCTCCTGGATCAGATGAGGGTGCAGGGGGTGGTGAGCATGCGGCGTTTCACTCGATGAGCCTAAAAACATACATAGGACATTAGTTTCCATGATGACAGAAGGACACAGTTCAGGTGGGCAGACCTTCTGCACCAAAGTGTCCAAGGCTTCGCGCATCATCAGCTTGTGCATATGTGATGGGAGCAGACTTTTCCCATCTTCCTCCACAGATGCAAAGCTTGTCTACATGCAGAGGGCTGGGGATGCCTCTCCATAAATAGGTGCACAGCTAATGCGTCTCTTTAGACATGTAGAAATGAAGGACTCTCTGTTACTACTGCCAGTGGTAGGGGGAGATGATTTTGTGTGGCTCAAGCCTGCATACAGCTTGTCTGCACCTTTTTCAGGCAGGAAACAATGGCTGTGGAGGTTCTCAAGGGGATGGTGATCAGGGAGCACTCAAGTACTCACCTCCCAACAGCATCTCCTGCAGCAGGTTGTCAATCTTGGCCATGCCGAAGAGCTTGACAAACTGGATCTGCTCTATCATCTGCCAGGTGATGCTCTGCAGCACAGGCAGCAGCAGCAGCAGCTCCCCGAAGCGGCCCCGTGAGTCGTACTGCCGGTCGTTGATGTAGTCCTCCAGGCTGACCTGCACCTGGTACCGCATCCGCTTGATCTTGGAGGGGTCGCTCAGTCCTTTGGCATCTGAAACAACCCACAGAGCAAACTATCCAGGCTGCTTCCCTAGGAACTACCCTTCGGTAATAGCATGCAGTCTGGGCACACGCTGAAGTGAGCTGTCTCCAATTCTCTATTGCCCTCTGTAATGGATGTTTTTTCTCTTAGGCTGAATTCTCCACTCCCTCTAAGAACAGTTTGGCCCAGAGAGGAGACCAGGAGCATTTCCACAACTCAGGGCCAGCATTAGTTGGTATAACCCAGACTAGTCCCCTGTGACGAAAACCCTCACCAAGCTGGAGCATACCTGGGTCGAAGAAAATTATGGCTTTCAAGCAGGCATATTCGTTATCGTCTATCTGCAGCTCTTGGAAGGGGAGGACCAGCTCGTCCAGGATGCGGATGGCCACGCGGTTCACCTCCACCAGTTCAGGGCAGTTCCGTGGGATGATGTGGTCGTTTCCTTTGGACAAGCAGCACAGAGACCATAGCCTTGTCATTGCCCAACACTTATCCAGGGTGGCAAGGAGTTCAAAACCCAGGTAACCAATGCTAAGGTAATTTTGAGAGTGGAGGACTTAAGAATTTCCTCCTTCTGCCCCTTCGCTGGCTCAGCCCACCAGAAATGCTGATCTGTGTTGCCAGAGCAGCATCTCCTTACTAGGAAGTCACCCAGGCGAGGAGAAGCTGACCAAAGAGTGAGAGCCTTTTTCTCAATCACACCACAGCCTGATGACACAGACCTGGGGGGGAAATGTGAATGTGTGTAGTCCCCCAACTTTGCCATACATCATGGCCTTGATGTGCGTGTCAGCCAGGCTTAGCTGCACCCAAAGGTTGTGCTAGGCTTGATAAAAGACAGAAGGGATCATGCTGCCCCCCTACAAAAAAGATGCCCGCAAACACTGAACCACTCTCTCCTTCAGCCCAGCAGGGAAGCTTTGCAGAAGCAGACAGGTCAGGAGCAGAAGTGCACTCTTTACCTAGCAGCAAGACATCCTTGAACACCATGGACCTCTTGGCAGCTCCCAGTAACAGATGTTCCCCTGCGTGTGCTCGCAGCAGTGCTACCTGCAAGGGCAGGGAAAAGTTACTTGAGTGATGCAGAGACAGACAGACAAGGCTGTGAGTTCACGTAAGCAAGAGGGAAAGCCCAGCATTCCTGTACTCCAGCCCAGCACTCCAGCATGGGGAGGGAGAGCCCCTCTCCAGTCACAGTGAAAGAGGTCAAAAAATACTTTACGCCTGGGCATAAACAGCTATAAATCCAGCAGAACCAGGGGATAATAGGCAGCACCTGAAACCTCCCATCTTCACGGAACATATCATGAGCAAGACCATGCTAGACTGTCCCAGGTCCTCACACCAGCTGTGGGACATGTTCTCAGTGGGATGTTTGCAGACAGGGCGACTCCTGCCAAGTGCAGAACCAGGGACCAGGCTCCAGCCTGGGAAGCGAGCAGAGTACGATCCACCGCTGCGGATAGCTGCTGTCCCTTGGGGCTGTGCTCACCTCCCACTGCCATCACTCTCGTGGGGACCCATGTCTGCCCAGCTGGGGGGGGGGGTCACCCTCTGGCCATTCGTTCCCTCCACAGCAATGGGCATGTGGGCCAGGGAAGCCAAAGGGATGTTTTTCTGCCCTGACGTTAATGATTGAAGTGTTTCATTTTACACCCTCCAGTGGCTCTTGAGAATGTTCTGAATCTTTTGCCCTCCTTCGGTTAAAAATTTCAGAGATTTAGGCAGAAACAGAAGTTAACAATTGGACAACCTGACACAGAGGCTTCTTAATGTCCACCCAGGAGCCTCTGCTGGAGAAAACAATCATTAAACATTAATTGAGAGATTCTGAAAAGTGTGTCCTGATGGGAATGGTCCCCTTTTCCAGTGTGTTATCCCTCAGCATCTGACAAAGCCAAGAGAAGTCCTACCCTACCAGAAATGACGGGAGAATGTGTCACCTGTAGAGGAGAGCTCTGGTTAGAAAAGATGCTGATGTCTGAGGGGGGGATTTTTTTTGCAGAGGGTGAAAAAGAGTTATGCAAAATAAACAGAGTGGGGGTCCTTGCAAAAAGACCTTTATCTGTGTGCCAAAATCTAGCCTCTCTCTATCGCTATCCAAACAAGGGCGGATGCGTTAGCTGAGCTTCTTGTAATCACCAGAGCTGCCCAAAAGTGAGCTTTCCTATTTGATGCAACTTTGGGAAGGATGGAAAAACTGCAAGTCCCAAGGGGGAGCGTAGCCCTCACAGAGAAATCTCCTGCCTAATGCAAATTCAAGAAAGCTCAGTTTGGAACCACTGGTTCTGTTTCCATAAAATTTGCTTGCTTGAGCAGGGTTAAAGTAAATTACTTCAACAAGCCGAAACCATCTCATTTGGTATTTGTTCTTGCAGTGATCAATCTGAGATACATCATTCCATTGTGAACTAGGATAAATATAAAAGTTGTAACACAACAAGGTAGAACTTTAACTTTGGAATGAAATGGCTTTGCCCCACCAAACCCAGTACTCTGACATTCTGGTGCAGAGGAAGAATGAAGGGTTAGGTATGACCTTTCCTATAACAATGTTGGCAAAGGTGATTCATTCTCGGGCAACATTTTAATGGCAATGTAGCAGCGTTTCCCAACATTGAATGTTCCCAGGGGACATGTCTTGACTGGTTCTCGTAGCCCTTGGGCAGCTGGCTTGCACACAGTTTTGTTCATTCCTGTGCCTGGTATTTCTGTCCTTCCTCCTGCGCTCCCCTGAGTATCTGCTGACTCTGTTCTCACACTGCCCTTCGAAAGCACGGATGTCCTTAATTGATTACTTTTAATGCAGCACAGTCTTTCCCCTCAAGCCCTTTGGGACAGGTGGGGAATTGCTCATGGTGGGGGATGGCTGGTCATAGCAGGAGACCTGTTTGAGTCGAGCCAAGCCTGCAGAGCACGCTGAGCGCAGCCTCTCCCCTGTGGGAAGGCAGGGTTCAGACAATGTCGTCTTTAGGCTTTGTTTTCATCTTTAAGAAATTTTGCAGCCCCACAATTGTAAAATGAGCTCACATGGAAACTGCTGTAGTTTGCAGAGTTATTACCCAGGTTTACTGCCTTTGTTCCAAGTGGCACAAGGATGCAGTGGGTTATGCAGAGCTGCCCCAAGCCTCCGCTGGGCTGCAGCCTGTTTGCTGTGTCGTTTGCCATCAGAGACCATTTTGCTTTTCATTATTTTTGAGTTGTATTTGCCTTAGGAGTTTAACAGATTTCTTACCATTTTAAACCATTTAGTACTAGCACACAATAGAAAAGAGGGAACTATGCTCCTGTGTTAACAGCACTGGATTCCCCAGGGCTCTGTGCTCCTGGGTGATTATTGAAGAGCTCAGATTTAGGGAGTTGTGATCAGCTCACTGTCTTGATATCGTTTTTCTTTAATATAAAAATTACCTCTAGGTCAATAGGGCTGGAGACTGATGCTAGCTGAAGAGAATAGATGCTGGTTTTGTGACTGTACAGTGGGCAGATTGGAAATACCTTCCTGCCTGTGATAGGACCTGTGCTGGCCACTGCCAGAAGTGCTGTCCCTTCCCTCTGGAGCCTCCCAACCATGCACACATGCTGTTCAAGGCTGGGCACACATCCTGTCCTGCAACAGGAGTCTGTCTGCTGCAGAGCTCTGAAATTGAGACTAACACAGGAGACTTGGATCTTCTTGTTTCTCTTTGAGGCTGCCTGAGATCCTGCAGTATAGTTTTAGAGGATTTCAAATGCACAGTGCTTATCTTGGTTATGGAATCAGCAAATGTCATTTTAGTAATCTGTGTTAAATGCAAATACATTTCTGTTTTTTAACTCTGAAGAGAGATTTTCATACTGCCTTGGGAGCAAACTGGTATTTAGTTTCAATAATTCCATGCCAGGAGAATGGATACAAACATATCCCCGGGCAAGAAGCAGAAAGACAGAGACAGGCAGATTTGCTTTTAAGCCTTGAGCAGACCTTAGGCTAGAAATCTGTCCTACCAAGTCTGATTACCCTAAGTATTTGTATAGCACATCAGGTTTTCAAAGTGCTGCACAAACTATAATTAATTGATTGATGGACCCATGCAGAATGCGCCCCTGATTACCTACCTAATTTGAGCTCAGTGTTATCGTGCCTGTGCTCATCGGCTGATTAGCTGCACATGCAAATGGCCTGTGCTGGCATTGTATGGATGCTGTTCCCAATCAGCTGCAGCAGTCAGGATAACAGAGCGAACAATGCACATTTTCTCTGAAGGTCTCAGCTGCCTGGCTCTCCCTTGGCTCCCCGCTGCCTTCGCCTGGGCAGAGCGAGGTGGGGGACTTGCCTGGTCATCCAGGGGCAGCTCGCAGAAGGCAGGGATGTACTTGGCCCACTCCACCAGCACCAGCAGCTGCTGCCTCATGGATTCACAGACGTCGGCGATGTTGGCAATCTTCTTCCCTCGGATGTCTCCATTGATTACAGGAACTGGGGATGATATCTGGAAGGAGAGAAAAGATCCTTCAGCTTTCAGTGCCGCAGAGAAAACGCAGACAGGAAATCTCCAGCCCATGGGTTGTGTGTTGATGCACACTCTAACATCTACAGTTACTTTTTTCTGTTGCACATCCAGCCCTCAGAATGTGTCCCAGCACAGCTCATTTCAACACGAGATCAGCCTGGGGATCTGTGAACGTGAAATGCTTTGGAGCTGAGGCTATGGACCACCTTGGTAAACCATCACGCCTTGAACAGACTGTAAGGCACAGGAGGAATGTTTCTAAAGCCAAGATCTTCCTGCCACTGAACAAACCCACTGCTGCTGCTTAAGCTGCTTGGTCCCACCAAAGGGCAGAGAGCTGCTCCCCCTTCCAGCCTGCTCCAGACCTGCCGTGTCTGCTGTTGGCAGGAGACCCGAAGGCTCTGCTCCTCCTCCTGAGTCAGCATGAGCCCAGCAGACTCTGTGCAGGTAGCTTTTACAGGTCCCACATTGCTTTCTGTGAGCACCGGCTCATTAATATTTGACATTACCCACTTTGAAATGCTAAAGACAGATTTTAAAGACAACAATCTGTCACCTCCCCCCCAACTTTTTAGGCCCTTTTGGCAAAACCACACATATGTAAACGTCCCCACAACACAGGCATTTTTTGCATGGCGAATTATTCGAATTATTCGTGATCGCAAAAGCAAATGGGGCCATTCCATTCACAAAGGACAAGCCTGACAAGTCTGCAAGTACCATCACACAGAGCTGGAAAGAACATCTCCCCCAAACCAGGCACCCAGCTTCCTGCCCGCTTCTCATGCATAGCTGCTCACGCAGCTCATCTAAACATTTGCCCTTAGTCACTACTTTATCCTCATGCTTCTGTAAGCAATTAACTCAACCCCATCGCTGCCCTCCACCTGCCCTCTCTGCTCTTGTACAACATCAGCTCTTCCTGTCCTGTTCCTGCCAGCGTTTTCGGCTTGGACCCTGCCAGCCTCCCCAGGGAAATGGAGTTCAAATGCCACTTGTGCTTTTTTTTTTTTCAGGTTGCATTGCCTGGAAGCTTTCCAGCTCTTGAGCTATTATTGAATAAATAAGATTGTAAAAATCTCACCGTGTATTACCCTAATCAGAGAGCCCGTAAGGCTTAGCAAATAAATAAAGACCTCTGAGTGAGTGACCCGAGATGTTGGAGAAAGCAGCTCCTCAGCAGTATCTTGTTCTAATTAGCTAGGCGCACAAAAGTTACCAATTACCATGCTGGAGCCTGCCTTGTTTAATGAGTCTCTCTGTGCTCTGTGGGAGAGCAGGAGCTCCCCTGGATTTGTCGATAGTTGTAGTTTTTATCAGCAGACCCCACTCCAGACTTGCATATGATGCCATGGCAGGACTCAGTCCTGGAAATGTCCTTCATTTGTAGATCTGGTGACTTGAGACCCCGTTATCTCGCACCTCTGGGAGCAGCACCAATATTATTTTTATAGGGTAAATAAATATATTAGTTCCTGCCTAGGAGAAGGTGAGACATGGGATAAAATGGGATATGCTTCTCATGTACAGGATTGGGCCGTAGCCCTTCTGGCACATCCCTCCTCGGGGAGGTGGACCTTACAGCCTGAGCCCCAGCGTGGAGCCCAGAGCACGGCACATCCTGTCCCAGAGCATCTCCTGGACAGTCTTCAGGGCAATGTGACCCTTGAGCAAGGAAGAACATGGACTGACAACTCAAATCACTCTTAATTTTCCCTGGGACAAGGAGTGCTGCTCATCCCAGCTCACTTGAAGAGTGGCAGCTCTTGCCTCCAGCACAGCCCTATCCTCATCGCTTGTTCTTGCAGACAAACCCTCCCCGCATCCTGTGTGCTCCCAGACAGTACTGTTTGCAATATCCAGATTCTTAAACTGGAGTAATCTTTTCAGGGGAACACTCTAGGAAATAAGTCGTGGCAGTATGCTTGTGGAAATGGGGAATTTCAGGCAAACACTGCAAAGAATATCTGCATAAAACAAGCATGAAACTGATTTCTCATGAAACTGTGCAAGAAGCCAGTTCCTAACAGCCGATGGGGAAGGAAGGCTGCTTATGCCAGGTGAACTCCTCGGCTGGCTCAGGTGGCTGCAGCTCCTTGGATTTCAGTGATCCAACCCTGTTTTCTTCCAGCAGGCTCTCCAGCCTTCATGTGTCCCGTCAGAGCAGAACAGTTTATTGCATATTATTACAACTGAGTTCAGGACCAAGGAGCATTAAAGGGTAACAGGTAACAAACGCCTTTGAAAAATCAGTGTTGGGTTGGCAGATTAGTTACTTAGAGAAGAGGTGGTAGTTTGAAGACTCGGCTATTAAATACTCAACTGGCTGTACTGGCCTGATGCTTTTGTATCTGCCAAAGAAGAAAGGAGAGGTACCTGTTGTGCCAGGACTTCTGCCTGCAGTAAGACATTGATGGAGGGCAAGCTGCTGTCTTCATAACTTGATCTCCGGGTGCTGATTCGGTCCCGTTCGTTTTGTACAGCTGCAAGAGAGTATTTTGGCTGAGCTGCAGGTTGGTCATGGCAATGCACACCGAAAGCTAGCACCGGCTTTTGGTGTTCCCCGTCGCAGTGCAATGGAGCACTTCCATAGCTGCAGTTTCCCAGTTCCCTGCCTGGCAGGGCAGAGGTGCAGCTGTGTCTGGTTTGGGACGAGAGCTGGCTACATCTGGTGGGTCTGTTTCCACATTGCTTTATTATGCTTTCCTGGGATGGGGTTGTTTCAGAGCCCAAGAAACCAGGTTCTGCCTTACTGTAAGGAGAGTCCCAGGACGGGTTTGACCCCAATGTGCCCCCCTGCTTGGTCTCGTCTTGAGGACCTGGGCTTCGAGTCCAGAGCTGGCAGCAGCCAGAGCAGAAGCAGCAGTGCTGAGGGGCAGGATTTGCCTCTCTGTCTGCCCCGAGGCTGTGGGCTGGCTGCAACTCACCACGGCCATGCCAGTCCAAGCCATCTGCTCAAATAAGGTATTGATCCATGGCAGGGGAAAGAGAACAGTCCCTGCCTTAGGCTGGTGGCTCTCTGGATTGATACGTTCTCAATGTATAAATCCGCCTGATAAAAAGCAATAATGAGGCAGGGCCAGAAGAAAAGCCCTGCAGTCAGCGGCTGTAAATAGGAGCTCTCAAGGTTATGCCGCTTGTTATCAGTAGCAGGCCCCCGAGTTCAGTCACGCCATGATGTTTTCCAAATGTTTGCTCAGTATTAGCTGGTCATGCACCTAATGTAACTTCTATTGAATATTAACAGACAGCAGCAAAGCTCTGGGCATGGGATGAGCGGGCGCTGCGGGGAGAGGAGGATTCCTATGTTCTTCAGGAGGAGTCAAGCCAAGTTCTGTGCAATCCCTCATCCCTTTAACAGGGCAGAAATGTTCCTGCTCAGAGGTGGTCCCGCAGGCCAGTGTTCCTGGGGAAGCTGCCCAGGTACCCCTGGTACTTCCCTGTTGTCCTCAAGGACCCCTTTTCTCCTAAATTCCTCCTTGAGGGGGTGTGAACTAGGGGGAGCGCAGGGTTTATTTTCTCTGCATGGAACAACAGGGCCAAATGCCTCCTGCTCGTCCCTTTGCAGACATCGATGGGGCGAGCTCTGCGAGGTTCCAGGCAACTCCTCTGGGCTGCTCCTGGAAGTTTGTCCCTGCACCAACAGGGCCACCAGCGGGGCCACCAGCAGGACCACAGCAACCCCAGGTTTCCTTGCCACTGGAGCGCTCCTGAGAAGAAGCAGGGCTAAAGAAGGGTGAATGCTGTCCTGTTGTGTCCAAGTCATGGGGACCTGGAGGGCCTGCAGAGACAGAGAGGCAGGGAAGTGGTGGGGTGAGCCTGGCCGTGCAGGGGGTGGATTTCTGTACTCATTTCGTATGGAGTTAAATAGCCAAAATGCTCCACCTTGCTTTGCTCCTTTCTGCTGTGGCTGATGTATCAGATAAAACCAAGCTCTCTGCAGAGAGTCAGCAAGAACCTATATGCACATTAGGAAAAAAAGGGGCAAAGTGTCAGTTGGACCTTTGCTGGACTCCCCTATCCAGCTGTGGATTTCATGGTGACTCTGGGGCAACAGCACTTAGAGCAGTTTTCCCAAAGTATTTCCAAATTTCTGGTTCTTCTTTGAAGTTTCTGCTTCTCACTGAGGTTGAGAAGCATTCCCAAGTCGCTTGGATGCCCCGGCGATGTGGGAGCCCCGGCGATGTGGGAGCCCAGGTGATGTGTGTGTCAGTGTGAGCCAGAGCGAGCTGAAGAGCCGCGGGTGTGATTTGTGGGGACAAACATGGGCAGTTCTGAGACACAAGCATGGCCCTGCGGCACTCTTGGGGGCTTGTCTTTGCTGGAATTTTGAGAGGTGCCCTGAGAAGGGACCCTGAAATGGAATTTGGGAGCACACAGGGCCCCCATGCCTTGCCCTCAGCTGTTGGGACGATGTCTACTTGCAAGGACTTCACATGGGCGGGAGCGGGGCAGGTTGGGCACATGCAGGGCTCGTGGCGAGAGGCCAAAACTCTCCCTAGACCCCACTGTGGTAGGGGTCTGCATCTGTGCACAGGAGAGCACCACAGAGGGAAGACAGGGCTAAGATGGCTGGGGGAGCATGGCCACGGCAGGGACTGGCCGTGGGCTGCAAGGGTTCCTCAGCCCTGCACAGCCGGTGGGACTGCTGCTGGGGGGGGGCGGGGAAGCCGT